ATATTAAAGTTACTAACAAATTTAATAACGCTATTAATATATTTGAAAATTAACGTTAAGAAAAAATTAAATATACGAATATATTATAAAAATAATAAATAAAATAATATTAAGTTATTTTATTTATAAGTAAAATACATAGTTAAAAATATATTATTTAGTATATAATATAGAAGGTATTACATAAATATGAAGGTTTATAACTTTATATAATATCAGGGGCATAATAGACTTTTCAAGTAAAAATGTGACTTTTGTGATAACTAAAGCAAAGTAAAATAATTTTAGTGTAACAAAAGAAAGAAAATTGACTTTTGTGTAGTAAACACAAAGTTGAATGATTTTTACGTAACTTTTGGATAACAAACACAAAAGTTCAATGATCATGGATAAAATTAACTCGATTGTACCAGACATGGGATAAAATAATCGGGTGAACATAAATTACCTAATATAACCAATTCTATCATACTTACATTCTAATATTACCAATCTTTTGCTGGTTATTCGTTTTTCTTTCTAAAATTCAGATGGATGACTGTTATATGCTGGTTACCAACCTTGTTTTGAACAATTCAGTAATATAATCAATAATCATCCATGCCTCCATCTCATATTCATGGCAAATTGATCGATCTTAACATACTAATAAATACAATTGTAAAAGTACAATTCGTGGTTAAAAACATAAACATGGAATTCAAAATCCATCAGATTTGTAGGTAAGAAGTGGACTGAAAAAAAATATTCCATGTGGACTAAATAAAATACCACATCAGATTTGTAGGTCAGAAGTTTCACACAAATCCAATAGAGTGAACTTTTCAAGTGATATTGGTAAAGATAAGTGACGTTTTTGTCACAAATAAAAGAAAAATGACTTTACTAACTATTTTTCAGATGTTCAGTGATCCTCTGGGTAATCGATTCCAGAATATCTATACAGAGGATAATGGGAAAACAAGTGAAAATACTCCTTTTATGAAAATAAAATATTATGATTGTGGATTGTAGTAATAATTTGTTCAAATTATTTTCAAAATTCTATTGGTCTCTTAGTAATGTTTTTTTTTTGTTGCCTTATTGGTCTCTTATCTTCCAACAAAACTTTCTTCCAGCGACTAAGGCTTTCAAATGTATTCTCAAGATAAAGAAAATAAATGATATTCCAAGATTAATAAATACAATTATTGTAAGCTTATTCATGCAAGTTGATTGATTTTTTCTATTCTGACCATTTGGAGCCTTTGGTTTGATTCAATGTGCATAACACGGAAAAAGAGTACTAAAAATCTCCAGCTCACTTGGAAATATTCATACTCGTTGGGTTTCGAAAAATTTCCCACTAAATTGTTTTTTAGAAGAGGAAGAAATAATTAATGCACTAGGTTAAAGAAACAAACTACGAACTATGGACATATTTGCAGACGTGCAGGCCACCACTCAATTTGATTTTGTTGGTTGTAGCAATTTTTGTTTTAATTCTTCTTGTTGATAGAGAAAAATAGTTTTTATTTTCGAGCATATATTTTGACTAACAGAACGAACTTCAACTAATGATAGATTTTCTCATAATTCACGCTAATTGGAACATACTTTAATTAGTAATTACTGCTAAAGTTTGTATCTTGATCAAACAATTACGTGTGAAAATGTGATAATTAATTAACCAATGGATTCATTATGTGAAAAATCACTTAGATATATTTGCGAACTAATAATTGGAAGAGGCCATATATACGTTATAATGATAATGATAATATAATGTATTTATTTCGTATTTATTTATATTTAGAAAAAGAGATGCAAACTAAAAGTTTCTTTCTTCCACGTACAAATCTAAATGTCCCATGGACTGGTTGGTCGTATAAGGTCCCCAACAGATACAAAACTCTCTTATTCTTTCCGTTTTTCCACTTCCCTTCAATCTAGAGAATTCATAATATTTTAATCAGTTAAACTCCTGCGGTGGGCTTTTCATTTAATAAAATATAGAAAACGGAAATAGTACTCGTTCATAAATGTATTATGCATGTTTTTTTTATTAGTATGATCGTAATTGGGTATGAAGGAATATTTAAGTAGATCGTGCAACGGTAGGCACCCGGCAGTCATTTTAGAAATGTAATATTCGAAAATGTTCAAAATAGGAACTTTAAACAACTGTAAAGTGTAAAGTTATTTTCGTGTGACCTATGATTCATTGGTTCTTGTCGTGAAAACAGTCAATAATAATTGCGTTAGGATCAGAGGCAGATGTAGATAGTTGATTACAGGTTCAATTAAACCCATTATTTTCCATGCGGAGCAAAAATTTATATGTAAAAATTCCTTAAAATTATAAAAATAGTAGATATGAACCCATAACTTTAAAAATATAATGAGTTCAATGTTAATATCTTAAAAATTGAACCCATAAAATATAAGTTCTGGATCTGCCTCTAGTTAGGATAAACCGTCTATATCACACCCTTGAAGTGCGACCCTTCTCGAACATATAAACGTGAGATTCTTTGTGCATCGGACCGGAAAAAAAAGGTTCAAAATTAGTGGAGGAGAAGGTCTCCGTGTAGGACTGGTGGTTCGACGCGTGTTGAAGCGTTAACACCGCCGGGAATCTCTGGGGTTGAAGTCCCAAATAAGTCATTAGTGGACGTTGTTCAAAAGATACTTTGGGTTAATGATCCTTTGATTCTCGGTATAAGTTCTAATCATTTTTTTTGGTTGAAGAGCCATGATTCAGTTTCCATCTTAATTTCAGATTAGTGCATCCCAAGAGGTAAGACAACATATATTAGTAATTTTTTTTGGGTTTTTATTCGGTGTCCGGTATCCGTATTGGGCCCAACTAAATCCGGATTCGCGCTGGAAAGTCCCATATTGGGGATAAAGCGCTCCCTAACAAAGGCAACTCCATACACAAGGTTCGAAACCAAGACTTTTGGTTAAGAATGAATGAGTATTTACCCCTCCACACACATGTACACACGCACACATCTAATGCCCTTTGGATAAAATTCGATTAAGACTGTTCTGGCGTCTTTAATTCTTTTTTAAAATTCATAACAGCTATAGTTGATATAATTTTAATTATGATTCTTTGGCATTATTTATCATATCGAGATAATGACAAGTCATAATCTGATTGATTAGCTACATTCTTATTAAAAATTCTTTACTCCGACAACATTTATAACTTAAATATCAACCAAAAAAAAAAAAAAACCTCACATTCCTAATCAGGAAAAAGATAGGTCCACCAGTTAGCCAGCTATTGTTTAGTAATTTGCAAACGTAAGCAGACATAGAATTAGGTCAGTCGATATTCTGCACCAACAACGTTGCTAGCTAGCTTATTAGATCCATTAAATTAAACTATTGACTTCACTTTAGCTATTGCAAGAAAGATTTTCCTTATTTGTATCGTTATATGTATATGTCGGAAATAACCTCTTTATGTCTTTGGTGGGGTAAGATATGCGTATACACTACTCTCCCCAGATCCTCACCTGTAAAATTTTACCGGGTTGTTGTTGTATTATCATTATATCTATGTAATCTCCTAATTCGTCTGTTTCTTATTGAAATCCTCTGCTGCATTTCACCCAAGCCAAGCAAACAGTATGTAAAAAATACATCAACCAAATAAAGGCTAATTATTTTTGTGGAATTTCTGCACCAGATCCAAGTTATCTAAAGTTTTAAAATCCGGATTAACAAAATATGCCAACTTCTCCATAATACTGGATAATTTTAGATGTGACTTGCATCATCTCAGATTTAGTAGATTATCGGATTAAGACATGTTGTTATTGGTCTATTTTCACAAGATCGCTGGCCGCTGAGTGTCATTAAAAGTCCAATTTTTAGAACTTTGTATGAAAATGTGTCCAAAAACATTTTATACGATAATGTGTCTGAAGAAGATTGTTTTGGAGGAGACAGGAGCTAAGCTGGAAGACTTTATGTCAAATACCAGATAGCATCATGATCTATGTTTTTTTTTAATGATGTCATTTTCATTTAGTTAACTCTATTATGCTTAATAAACGAATGAAAAAGACCCGCACGTAGTCCTCTAGAATGCCAGATATGATTCTGCAGTATCTATATTTCACCAGATCTCATTTCCATCTTCACCTAACTTGGTGTTTAATTAGTTGATAGTAACAGTTTATCCTTTTCTCAATGATTTGAAACTATATTCCAAATCATTGTTTAATATTGATTTCAAGTGTTTTTTTAAAAGCTTCTGAGTGGTTCTATTATGTTGTCCATAATTGCTTGAACCAAGTCTCTCTTTGTTGGTGTTGGCCCATTCTGAACAAATAATTGTTAGTTAAATGAGCTGGGGCTTATTCTAATTATTAAATTTACTCCTAATATTGCATTTTAGATGATATTCTTTCCCTTTTAGTCTGTTTCTGAAAGAATGACACGTTTCTAATATTCGAAACCTTATAACTTTAAACTTCCATTTGACTCTTAACACACTCTTATGGTCATAAAAATGTCATAACATGCTTAAGGCTGCAAAGTTCCAAGGATACTTGTGGTCTGTGGCAAAAGTCTTTAGTTGTTTCCTCAAACTTCGTGTCGTGTTAAACACTGTAATATAAAACGAAACTGATGGAGTATAGCTACCAAGCAGGGACGTATGTAGCGTCGATGCGGGACATAAATTTATGTGTAAAATCTACTAAAATTACAATAAATAGTAGATTTGAACCTATAGCTTTAAAAATATAATGAGTTCAATGCTAAAAATTTTAAAGGCTGAACCCATAAGGTTTAAATCCCGGATCCGCCTCTGTACCAGATATTAATTGAAATACAGTACCAAACAAAGTCAACATAGACATTCCTACATTTGTGTTGTTATATGGGTGGGAATATGCTTATATATATATAATTACTATATGGTATATGCCTCTAATCCCAACTATTTAAAAGCATTAACCAAATCAGCACATCTCCAACTCCTCTACTTGTCAGCAAAATTATGGAACCTGTGGGAGCCATATTGTCTGAAGGGGAATGGAGTTCCTTGAGTGGAACATGTTCTACTGAGGAAGCTGATTTCATGGCACAGTTGTTTGGTAACTGTCCAAATGAGCTACCTAACAGTTCTAACATTCGACTTCCCAATTTTTGGACAAGTCATGATCAATCAAGCATGAATGTAGGAGGATTAACTAACCAGGTTCCAATGTATAATTCTTTAGACGAGACTAAAAATACTATGTACGGTTTTTCACAAGGAAGTAGTGATAATAGTGGTGGTAGTGGCATTCATTTTCCCCATTTTCACGCGACGTTGCTGACAAATGATAGTGTTAAAGATAAAATGAGTTACCCTTCTCATCAGGTGGCTCCTAACAATGTAATCGAGGCGGATGCAATTGACTTTTTGAACAAAGAAGTATGCAATGAAAGCATAGAATCAGGTGAAAATATGCCTGAATCTGATCTTCATGGAAAAGGCTTGCAGCTAGGAAGAGAATATGATCAAATGCAAGTTCGCGAACAAGATCATAAAATGGACAGTTCATCAGAGAGCTCTAAGAAAAGATCGCGGTTGCCTGTTAATGATGTGAGTGTTAATATCTGAACTTGTAATGTTTCATCTTGTTATTAATTAGTTTCTGAATATATTTCTGATATCTAATATAGGTGCCGAAGAACAAGAGAAGCGTAAAGCCAAAGAAGAATATGAAGAGTAATGCTGATGATGAGATTGGAAATAAGGAAAACCATAGTAATGTGCTTCACAGGCAGAGCTCATTTAGTTGCTGCTCTGAAGATGAATCTAATGTTTCTAATTATGAGTTATATGGATTGGCTTCGAGCGATAACTCAAAAGGAGTTTCTGCTCCCCTCAACTCAAATGGTAAATCCAGAGCCAGTAGGGGCTCAGCAACTGATCCCCAGAGTCTATATGCAAGGGTAAGCATCAGCTGTTAGTCGCTAATAAGATTTTTTCTTGTAGTGAAAGTGTTTATTAATCTGGTACTATATGACTAAATTAGGATAATTTTTTCTCTTATTACAGAAAAGAAGAGAAAGAATTAATGAGAGATTGAGGATCTTGCAAAGTCTCGTCCCTAACGGAACAAAGGTATGTGGAGTAGTCGTACTCATTGAAACTGCATCAATAATGTTCATGTAATTAATCTGCTACGAAAATTTGAATCTGATAAGCAAGATAATCATGATATATAGGTTGATATTAGCACTATGCTTGAAGAGGCAGTCCAGTATGTCAAATTTTTGCAACTCCAAATCAAGGTAAGATATGTTTCACAAAATATTTAGGTTGCAGGTTCAATTGAGCTCATTTATTTCAGCTCAAATGCTATAATATAATAATAAATGTTGTGACATTTATTCTTAATTTATTTTCTTTAGATCCTGATTCTTTTTATTTGGATGTTGCAGCTCTTGAGCTCTGATGATCTATGGATGTATTCTCCCATTGCATACAACGGAATGGACCTTGGACTTGACCTGAAGATTGGCACTCCAAATTCATAAATTTAAACTAAAGCTCAAGGCATGGTTGTGGTATATTAGTGGATTGAGAGCATTATCATACACGTACGCGATGGCAAATTATTGCCACTTTTATAATTTGCTATTTAACCCTTAACTAAAACACTTTGGCTATTATTCTGTTATCCATGACTTACTAATCATTCTAATAATCAAAGATTTAAGTGTAATAATTTTCTCTCTGGCTGCCACCACAACATGATGGAGGTTTAGGTGTTCTATTTGTTCAGCATTGTCTCATAATGTTGGGGTTATGAAACAACAACAACAACAAACCTAGTAGTGGGGTCTGGGGAGGGTAAAATGTACGTATTCTTACCCCTATCCCTATCTCCGGAAGGGCAGAGAGGTTGTTATCAGAAAAATGGTTTAAGTTATATACATTGTCAAGATAAAGAATGTCTACACGATATATCAATGTAATTTAATGTATTACTTATATATAACAAGTAATTACTCTGTTGTCCATCTTACAATATCAAACTTTTTATGAAAAGTTACAAATTGTACATCGACTTAATCTAAAGGTGTGAAATTTATGAATTATCACTGCACAAACCGTAAAACAGTATAGAAAAAGCTGAACTTCTAGTTCACTGTCTGAAAAATCGCTACGTTTTGTTCCAAGTTCCTATGCTATTATACTATTTTGGGAGGTGTTTACAGAGTATCTGATGGTTTCTCGTGAGTTATATGCAACAAATGGGAGAAAAAAATGATGTACGCTTTTGGCTTCGACCGGACTCGAACCGGAGACCTTCAGTGTGTTAGACTGACGTGATAACCAACTACACCACGAAACCACCGTTGACTTGAATCTGCTCAAAAATATATATGTAAGAATAAATCGTCCAGTGGTCCCTTTTTTTGGGCACATTGGAAAAGAAGAAAAGTTACTAAAATCATTCATAAGCGATAACTACTTAGATCTGCCTCTTTCATGCTAGCAAATCTTCTTCATGCTTGTGACCTTCATTATGCCAAACCAGTGATCTTCTACTAACATTCTCAGGTTATAAACATTGTGACCGAGTGAATTCTAAATTTGTTCCATTTAACTGCATTTGTCCTAGTAGATATACATTTGTCCTAGTAGATATACACACAGCTTAAAAGAGCATAGATGAACGTGCTTGAACAGAGAAAATATTTTGATGTACCACAATTCCTTTCATTGTCCTAGACGGAAAATTTAATTTTGTGTCTCATACAACTGACACTAGTTGTACGAGACATTTTTTTTGTCTTACAATTTTGTGGACCCAGATTTTTTTTGGACCCAGAAGGAGCCTCACACAACTAATGTAAGTCGTGTGAGACACACAATAAAACTTCTGTCCTAGACACCTTCACATGCTTGTGTCAGAATTTACTAAAGTGGACCATTGCTAACTGCTTTATCCCCCTTCATCTGTTGACATATACAACTCCACACAGCCTCACACAACCCAAATGACAGCAGGCCCAACCCAATAGCTATACTATTTTCAGTTGTATATTACTTAGGAAGATAGCCTATTTTACATTTGTTTATATAGCCATTTTTCTGTAAGTATATATAGACTGTGGACTATTCTAGAAAGACAGATTATTCATTTTCAATAAGGGAGATCAGATATTTCTCAACTTCTCTCTCTCGTTCTCTGAGTTTTCGCCATGGGAACACTTCTTAGCTTCCGCAAAATCTCACTCCTAACATGGTATCAGAGCAGGATATGAGTTCCTGTCATCGATTATCTCCATCCGATCGTACCCGTAGAGCTTGTTGATTACAAATTTTGGTTTTATCGAAACCCTAGTTCTGATTTGGGGCTTTTCATCTCAACTATGTTATCTGGAGGGCTAATGGCGGTTCGCTCGCGATATTCCTCTGGTTTCAACCGGCATTTCTTCTTCCTCTCCGGAGTTTAGTCGACTTTGAAGGCCTTGTCTTTTTCGGACTGCGAAAAAGGACGATATTCTCTTCTTAAATTCCTAAATGCATGTTTCAATTTCTGGTAAATTCCTACTGTGATTGAGAATTTTAGATACATAATGGGTGATGAGAGTGTGAATCTCTCTAGTCAATCTGATGGTTTCGCTGTATTCACTTTAGATCCCTCGCATCCTCTTTATATTCATCCCTCAGATAGTCCCGGCACTCATCTGGTATCTCCTCCTTTCGATGGTACTGGTTTTGTTGCATGGCGTAAAAGTATGCTAGTTTCCCTTTCTGCCAAAAATAAATTGGCACTGATCGATAGTCGTCAATTTAAGCCTTCTAGTGATTCACCTTACTATCCCTACTGGGAAAGGTGCAATGATATGGTGGTTGCGTGGATCACTAATTCCCTATCTAGAGATATTGCCACCAGTATTCTAGGATATGACACTGCAAAAGAGATTTGGTCGGACATAAATGAGAGGTTTGGTCAGTCTAATGGTTCCAAATTTATTCAGATACAAAAGAAGATTGGAACTATTTCCCAGGATACCTTAGACATAGCCTCTTATTTTACCAAATTTCGTAGTCTTTCGGATGAGCTTCAGACTGCTTATGTAGGTCCCACATGCTCATGTGGTGCTCTACCAAAATTTCTTGATGAGATGAAACTGTATTGGTTCTTGGCTGGACTGAATGAGTCATATAATACTGTCAAGAGCAACATCCTCATGATCTCACCAATTCCATCAGTTAGTAAAGCTTATTCCATGTTACAACATGATGAAAGACAAAGGGAAACCTCTCCAGCCCCAAGCTTTTCTAGTGATTCTGTCTCTTTTTCTGCATCCTCTACTTCTTCATCATATTCACAATATCCTACTGGGCAAAGATCATTTAATCAGAAGGTTCAGTTTGAACCAAAGAAACCTAGACAGTCCATGTCATGCAGATATTGCAAAAAACTAGGTCACACTGTTGGAAAATGTTATAAACTTCATGGTTTTCCTGCTGACTTCAAGTTCACCAAAAATAAGAGATCAACATCATGTGTTCGAGTTGAGGGTACTGCTTCTACCCCACTAGGGTCACCCATGGAACATCTTCCACCTGTCAATCATGGATTCACTACTGAACAGTATCAACACCTACTTACTCTCCTAAAGTAATCACACATTTCTTCTGAAAACTCAAGTGACTCTCATTCTAGGGATAATCATGCATATGCTCACTTTGCAGGTTTGTTTTGCAGTTCTGTAGTTAACTCTGTGGATTTTCATGCCTCTGCATCTTCACAATTAAATGTTGACACTTGGATTCTAGATTCAGGGGCAACTAACCACATGACACTTCACAAACACTTTCTTCACAACCTTCAACCACTAACTAGGCCTTACTTAATTACTTTGCCAAATGGCTATAGAGTAAATGTTGTATCTATTGGATCTTTACAACTTAAGTATGATATTGTGCTACACAATGTTCTTCTTGTTCCATCATTTTAGTTCAATTTAATTTCAATATATCAAATTATTTTACAACTTTATTGTATTGCAGTTCTCACTACTTCCCATTGTTTCTTACAGGGCCCTTCTCTGAAGCGGCCACTGGGAATTGATAAAGCTGACAATGGATTGTATTTTCTTCATCTTGATGACAACCCTTTAGTTTCTCCTTTTACATTTGATGATTCATGTAATGTTTCAACTTCTGCTTCTACTGTTTCTCATGTTTTCAATTCTGCCAATCCCCTTCCCATTAGTCCCTCATGTAATCCATCTTTTGATATCAATAAAACAGATCTATTTTGGCATCAAAGAATGGGTCATATGTCTTTCAATAGAATGAAATCTATCCCTTTTATTTCCTCACAAACTTCTTCTAAACAATCTTTTATATGTCTCATTTGTCCTATGGCTAGGCAGCAAAGGATGCCATTCTCTAATAGTACTACTCACTCTACTGCTCCCTTCCAGTTGGTCCACATTGATATTTGGGGACCTTATAACACTGTCACATATAATGGTTTTAGATAGTTCCTCACTTTAGTGGATGACTACTCCAGGGTAACCTGGACTCACCTACTCTCTAGTAAAAATAATGCCGTGTCTGTGCTTAAAGCCTTTACTTCTATGGTACAGACTCATTTTCACACTTCTGTTCAGACTTCCAGGTCTGATAATGCATTTGAACTAGGTTCTAGTCTAGAGTCCAGGTCTTTATTTTCTTCCCAAGGAATCCTCCACTAGACCACTATTCCACACACACCACAATAGAATGGTGTTGTGGAAAGGAAACACAAACACCTCTTAGAAACTTCCTGAGCCCTATTATTCCAATCCAACTTGCCTGCTAGATTTTGGGGTGATTGTGTCCTTACAACTACTTATCTTATTAATAGATTTCCCTCTACTATTCTTAATAACATATCCCCCTATGAAAAACTACATGGACATTCACCCACTTATGATCATCTTAGATCTTTTGGCTGCCTTTGCTTTGCTACCTCTCCTAAATATAGTAGAGACAAATTTCAATCTAGAGCAATCTCTTCTATTTTCCTTGGATATCCTTGTGGGAAGAAAGGCTACAAATTACTCAATTTGTCCTCTCAATCTATTTTCTACTCTAGAGATGTTATTTTTCATGAGTGTGTCATTCCCTTCTCCACTAATTCCTCTAATACTTATCGTCCATCCCCTTCTAGTTTTGTTGATGTTCCTTCACAAGGTGCATCACCTGTTGCTGCAAATTCTGCACCTTCTCCTGCTATTTCATCTCCCATTTCTCCATCTCATTCTCCCATAGTGCTGTTCCAGTATCATTACCATCATCTTCTTCTCCATCTACCTCCACCTGTACATCCTCCTCTAAGAAAGTCTCTTAGAGTATCCCATCCTCCTCTTTACCTAGCAGATTATGTTTGTTCTGCCCCTGTATCTACTGCTTCTAAAATGTCTACCACAGATTTGCACTTGCATGAGCCTCAGTACTATCAACAGGCTGCTTCTCATCCTGCTTGGCAGGAGGCCATACTAAAGGAATTTCAAGCATTAGAGGCCAATAACACCTGGGATATTGTCCCTCTTCCACCTAACAAAAAGGCTATCCCTTGCAAGTGGGTGTATAAAATCAAACAGAAATCTGATGGTTCTGTTGAAAGGTACAAGGCAAGGTTAGTCATTAGGGGTGACACTCAAAAGGAAGGAATTGATTATAATGAGACATTCTCCCCCATTGTCAAGTTTGCCACTATTAAATGTCTTCTCTCTCTTGCTGTTAAAAGAAACTGGACTATATATCAACTTGATATCAATAATGCCTTTCTCCATAGTGATCTCCATGAGGAAGTCTATATGAAGGTACCACCTGGACTGCAGGTTTCCCCTACTGATTCCTCTCCATTCCTTTTGGTTTGCAAGCTCAAAAAGTCTCTATATGGCCTCAAGCAAACCTCCACATAATGGTTTTCTCAATTGTTTGAGGCTTTGTCTACAAGAGGCTACATTTCTAGTATGAATGACTACTCACTGTTCACCAAATCTACCTCTACTTCTCTTACAGTCCTACCAGTGTATGTTGATGATATTTTACTAGCTAGGCATAATGTTATTGAATTAGACAGTGTTAAGTTATTCCTTGATCAACAATTCAAGATCAAGGATTTGGGGACAATCCACTATTTCCTTGGTTTGGAGGTCACTAAATGTCCTCAAGGCTACATCATCAGTCAACAGAACTTCACACATGACTTGCTGGCAGAGTTCAATTGCCAGAACTTTTCCCCTGTTGTGACTCCTCTTCTTGATGCTTCTGTCAAGTTGTATGTTGACATGAATGCCCCTTTGACTGATCCCAGCTCATATAGGAGAATTATTGGCAAACTCAACTTTCTCCAACATACTAGGCCTGATATATCTTTTTGTGTTCAACATCTTAGTCAGTTTCTTAAGGCTCCTCAAGTTCCTCATATGCTTGATGCTCTTCATGTGTTGAGGTATCTATCCAATGCTCCTGATTTAGGGATCCTTCTGTCTTCTTCTTTTGATGTCTCTATCAAGGCCTACTCAGATTCTGACTGGGTTGCTTGTGCTGAGTCAAGAAGGTCTGTTTCTGTTTTTTATATTACACTTGGTGGTTCCCCAATCTCTTGGAAAAGCAAAAGGCAACCCATTGTTTCATTGTCATCTGTTGAAGCTAAATACATGGCTCTTCGCAAAGTGGTTGCAGAGGTCTCTTGGTTGGTCCGTATATTGGGTGATCTTAGTCTACATATTTCTGCTCCTGTCCCCATATACTGTAACAACATTGCTGCTTTACACATTGCCAAGAATCCGGTCTTTCATGAGAGGACAAAGCATATCGAGATTAATTGTCACTATGTGCGTGAGAGTCTCAATTTTGGGTTGATTTCTTTGCATTTTGTGCCCAGTTCTGCCCAACTTGCTGATATTATGACAAAGGCTCTTCCTGGTCCTCTCTGTGAGCACGTGATTTTTGCCTTACGAAAACTACTCCAAAATAAATCAAAAAATAAAATAAATTTCTTTTACTGTGTAATGTTTGAATTTGCGTGGTGCTAAATATTTGTTTTATGTCCGTAAATGTTTACTTTGTCATAATAAAATGAAAATTAAAATAAAATACATGTTGCATGCATATATGATTTAATTATGCATTTTGAAAGATAATTTAAATAAAATCACAAAAAATATGCATTCGTTCTATTTTTAAATAGGTTACTGTGTGATTAATGTTTTGACTATGTGTTAATAGTTGTTATAAAGTAATTAATATTTTTGTGTAAGGTTAAAAAATTGTTTTATAATTTTTATTAGGATTTTTTTAATGATAAATAATATAATAAAACAAAACAAAATAAGTTGTAAAATAAAAATTGGACCTGGATTAAAATCCAGGCCCAAATCAAATTAACCCCCCCACAGCCCAATCCAAACAAGCCTGTCCGATCCAATTCAGCTACGTCAAACGACGACGTTTCATCATCCTTCATCAAGGGCCGTTGGATTAAGTCCATCCAACGACCGAGATTTCATCACCCTAACCCGAGACCCTTACCCGATCTAATACCCGGATCAACCCGTCCCCCTAACTTAAACCAAACGACATCGTTTGGTTAAGTGAATAGATCTCAGCCG